AGATGGAAAAAGAAAAAGAAGAGATAAAGCGCGCGCTCAGACAATTTTGAATATCCTCTGCTCTCTCTGCCCCCCGTGAAGAAATCTTGGTAATGTTTACGAATGAAATTATAGAATAATAATACATATAAATATATATATATATATATACATAATAATAATAATATATAGATAATAAAGAAGAAAGCGTTTTGCGGACAAAAATAGAACTCTTCAGAGAATTCACATTTCTTTTTTGTAAACAAAACAACAAGCAATGCAAAGAGATGTAGAGAGGATCTAGAGCAGATCGAATGAAATGAAATGTGTAATAGTCAAACAGGTATATTATCTGTTGTATAATAACAATACTCAATTGGATTCATTTTTGTCCAATTTACGAGGAACTAAAGAACTACATGCGGAAGGAATTATTGATGGCATGGCTACGGATGTTGCGAATGTAATGTGTTTCTACATATATATATATATATATATATATATATAAAACGTATCATAATCATGGTCTAAATCATAATCTATTCGCGAGTGAAAAAATCATTATCATTTTCATTATCACCATCATCTTCATTATCCAATTATCACGTTTCATCAGGATCAACAAAGGTCGGTCATTTAGAGAGAAGAAGAAGAAGAAAAAGAAGAAGAAGAAGAAGAAAAAGGAAAAGAAATGAAAATAAAAGAGTAAAAAAAAAAAAAAAAAAAAAAAAGGAGGAGGAGGAGGAGGAGGAAGAGGAAGAGGAAGAGGAGAATGAGAATGAGGAGTTGGTGGTATATGGACAATGTTTAGTTTGTGAGTATACAAATGATGGATGTAATATAAATGTCGTATACATGTTAGATGGTATACATGTTCAATTAAGAATTAAAATGATCAAAATGAGCGAATAAAATGGTCTTTGCCAATTCGATCTGTTCCTCCTTAATCTCTTCATCGCACATTATTTTATTTTATTTTATTTTTAATATTTATTTCCACATTTATTTTACTTTTCCCTTCTTCTTCTTCTTCTTCTTTCTCTATTTCTTTCTTTTCTTTCTTTTCTTTCTTTCTTTCTTCTCCCTCCTTTGTCTTCCATCCTTCGCTCCTTCCTTGTCTTCATCCTTCGCTCCTTGTCCTTTTTCTCTGATCCATCCTATTGATGTGTCCTGTCCTGCAATTCTGTAATTTGGTTTAATCTTTTTTATTCTTCTTTTCAAATTCAAATTCAAATTCAAATTCGTTATTGCAACCGTTTGTTTTTCTACTCGGCATTGTCTTTTCTTTTCTTTTCTTTTCTTTTCTTTTCTTTTTTCCTTTCTTTCTTTCTTTTCTTTCGTTATTAAACTCATTAGCCTTTCCATTCATTTCATTTCATCTCATTTCATTTCTTTTCATTTCATATTTGCATTGCATTACAATTGTTCTTGTTTTTATTTTTCATTTCACTTCATTTCCTTTCCTTTTCCACAACTTGATTTCGATTCATGGCTGCAAGTGTCTCACCCATGATCCAAAATGGGTCAATGCCAAAGGACCACCTGATTTCATCCGAGCAGCACCTCCACCATCAGCAACAACAACAACAACAAGAACAACAACAACAAGGCTTTTATACTGACTTGATGAGAAGACCCTCTCAAAATGGTTTCTCTCAAGAAGCACAGCAACAACAACAACAACAACAACAACAACAACAACAGTTTGTGCAACAACAACAACAACTACAACAACAACAGCAAGGGTACATTGATCCACAGATTGAATCACAAATGGAACAACAAATGGAATATGAACGCCAGTTGTTCCTACAAGACCAACAATTACAGTATGAACAAGACCCGACCATGTTGAATTCTGGTCCATTGGAGATGATGCCCCAAGATCCCTCCACCTCCTCCTCCTCCACCTCTTCCTCGTCTCCTTCTATCCTGTCTCAATCTCATCTGAAACCAGGTCATAAAGCCACACTCTTATCTTACACCCAAACCTTGGAACTCTATCGTCAAAATGCCAAAAAGACCAACGATCCAGAACTTCAATTCGAATTTGCAGCGTTCATGATGGATGCAGGAAAATCTTTATTACTCATGGAGGATCCAGCCTCGAATCCACAGGCTCAGGCCCAACAGACCCAGACCCGAAATGAATTGTTTGATGAGGCAATGAAGCTGTTGAAGAAACTAGCGACCTACGGACATGCAGAATCTCAACATTATTTAGCAGAGTGCTATGCCTCTGGCTTTGCCTCTTCAAAAAAGGGAGGAGGTATTGGAGGAGGAGGGAAAGCCGATTTTGATAAGGCCTTTCCTTTATGGGTTCAGGCATCAAAACATGGACATCCAGATGCGGCCTATAGGACTGGCAAATGTTATGATGAAGGATTAGGCACTCGAAAGGACAATGCAAGGGCCGTGCAGTTTTACAGGTAAACAAAAAAAAAAATTTACCAATTCTACCGATAATACAGACACCTTTGTATATTTTGTATCCTTTATTTATATATATATATGATAATGATCCAGAAAGAGAGAAAGGATATCATTAATATTTGGTTTTAAGGAGTTTTTATGAGCAAAGAAAAAAAAAAAATTAATATCTTTTTTTACCCAATCCACTGGAATGTAAATTTAACAAAAGAAAGCAACTACAAAAAGTGACTACACAGCAGATCAGCACTCGTGACAAATGCAGGAGCGACACCAACATTTGGACCATAAGCAAACACCCTTGCATCTCTGCTTGATTGTCAATAAATTAATGAAAAGGGGGAAAAAAAAGGGAAAAAAAAGGAAGAAGAAAAAGAAAAAAAAAAAAAAAAAAAAAAAAAAAAAAGAAAAGAAAAGAAAAGAAAGAAAAAAGGGAAAAAGAGAAGGAAACAAGAGAAAAACGATCAAGAAGCAAAGAAGCAAAAAAAAAAAAAAAAAAAAAAAAAAAGCGCGTCAGATCAGGAACATTTTTTAAAACAAGCGAAACTGCGACAAAGGACCAAAAGGAGTGAGACAGAATGTATTCAGCCAATCACACTACTTTATATTTTTATATATTTATATCACATAATGATGGGGATTATGACACCATGGGATCAGGGTTAAGATCAGGATCAGGATCAGGATCAGGATCAGGATCAAGATTAGGATTAGGATTGGGAGGATCAAGAAGATCAAGATCAGAATGGGCAATGTTTGGGGAAAGAAGGAGGAGGATGATAAAGAAGGAGGCTTTTTTTTTTTTTTTTTTTTTTTTTTTTTTTTTTAATATGAATATATTTATTATTCTTCATTATCGAAACAATGCTCTAACTATTATTGGCTCTTCTTTGGGGACAATTTCCTTTTTTTTTTTTTTTTTTTTTTTGACAATGAATAGGAAGGCAGCTTCGGCCAATCATCCAGGAGCAATGTGGCGATTGGGAGTGGTGACTCTTTATGGAGAACTCGGAGTGTCGGCATCGCCACGCGATGGAGTCAAGTGGCTCAAGCGATCGTCTCAAGCTGCCACACCAGAATTCCCTTTTGCATTGTACGAGTTGGCACAGCTGCATGAACGGGGGATTGAGAACATTGTGTTTGTCGAGCCCGAGTACTCGGTCTCGTTGTATTCACAGGCAGCAGAGCTGGGACATGCAGACTCTGCGTTCAGATTAGGAGAATGTTACGAGTATGGTAAACTTGGATGTAAACAGGACCCGAGGCTGTCGATTCATTATTATACACTAGCAGCACAGCATGAACACCCTGAAGCATGCTTTGCATTGGCAGCCTGGTATCTTGTAGGATCTCAAGGGGTCTTGCCTCAGTCGGATGCAGAGGCCTATATCTGGGCCAAGAGAGCGGCCGACAAGGGTCTGTCGAAGGCATTGTATGCGATGGGATATTTTTCAGAGGTGGGGATCGGACCACGTAAGGATATGGCAGAGGCCATT